GGCGGCGGAAGTCCGCGATTTCCCCTGGAAACGGGGCCCGTCGCGAATCCACGCCCCCTCAATCCATGTTTGCGATCGCCTGATCGATACACCACCCCCCGCCGCCTCCCCCCGCACCCCTGAACCCCCGCGGGGCCTCCTGGCGGCGGCGGTCCTCCTCGTGTGCCCGCTCGCGGTGCCGGCGGTCCGCGCGGCCTCGCGCCGGCACCCCGCGAGGCGACCCCGCGGCGTTCTGCCGGTCGTCTCGCAGGCCCAGGTGTCGTGGAGGGCCTCCTCCTCCTCCTCCTCCTCCTCCTCCTCCTCCTCCTCCTCCTCCTCCTCCTCCTCCTCCTCCTCCTCCTCCTCCTCCTCCTCCCTCCTCCTCCTCCTCCTCCCGAGGAGAGGCGGCGGGGGCCGAGGGGGGGGGCGATGTGAGGGCCTAGGAGGGCCGCGGAGGGACGAGGAGGGTCGAGGAGGGTCGAGAAGGGATCGAGGAGGGCCGAGGAGGGCCGAGGAGGGTCGAGGAGGATCGGGGAGGGTCGAAGAGGGTCGAGGGTCGAGGAGAACCGTTCGGCGCGGCCCACGGCTGGGCCCGAGGAGGATGGAGGATCGAAAGAGAATCGAAGACCGAGAGGAGTCGCGGATCGAGGTTGGAGCAACGAGGATGAAGGACGGAGGACCTCCGAGAAGGGTCGAGGATGGACGTGTGCTGCGCTCGCTTTTGATTTGCATTACAATCACCCCGTGCATGACTAGATACATACGATGATTGCAGCGCGACCCCCCGTGCCGCAGAACACGGGCCAGGGCCTCGTCTATGGCATTAGTTGCCGCATCGGTCTTGTTGGTGGCCCGCTTGATCCAGTCTACCCATGGTTCCAAATTGTCAGCGACCACGTCATCGTCGGCATCAGCATGAACACTCGGAGTGGGATCTGGTCGTCGTCGTCCTCGTCGGAGTTCTGTGGACCAGAAAAGGAGCGACACCACCCCACCTACGGACAAACGGGGCTTAGCGTATACAAGGAAATCTAGCGTGGGTTGTTGCTTGGTTAGCCACGGCCCCCGATGGGCCGTAGCGCAACATGGAGGGCCGTAGGTGGGGTGGTGTCGCGTGCTTGTTGGTCGATTCTGGTGGGTGCCGTCGGGCCCACTGTTTGTCTGAAACTCGGGTGCTTGCTATGCTGTTTAGCTAATGGCTTTTCCTCAGGTGCGCCTCGGCACTCGTACAATCGCGCGACACATTTGTCGCTGCGTTCGGCGGAGTCGGTTAACTAAGCAAGCGGTGAGCGTCCAAACTCCGCAACCGTGAAAGACAATATGCTTGACAACTCCGTGGACGGGGCGAAGAGGTTTCGTGATAGCAGGCCTGACAGTTCCGAGGCAGTCCCGAGGGAACATCAGATATCGAAAACATGTTGTGCTTTCAGCGCTTCTTGAAGTGTACCATGTTTGACGCCGAGGATGCCTCGAGATCGAGTCAAGACTGCCCCGGTAACCCCAATGGTGGCGCAACGAAGCCCTCAGGATGGCCCCGTGGTGCTCCCCAAATGGGCCCCGGAAGCCCCAAGGTGATCGCCACGGCCGGCCAATCCGAGGCGACAACAAAAACGAAAGCCGACCGATTCGGCAGCGAAGCCGATACCGATAGGCCGCAAGCAGTGCAGAAAAGCGCAGCGACGCAGCATCGAACCGACCGAACACAATAACGACTGCGACGCAGCCGAGCCGACCGAATCGCGAACACCCTGATAGCCCAAATGTTTCTTCACATTCAAAAAAGAAAAACTGCATAAACATACACTTTCGACGGTCCGTGCGGATTTCTTGAACCCGCGCCGGACCCCCCTCCCCAGCGCGCGCGGCCACAGCGCGGATCCAAGAAATCAGCGCGAAGCGCCAAAAAATTATGCTTACTGCGTTGTCTTCTTCTTCGATACAATCGGACTCGATTGGACAGGCCACGCGAGAGGACACAAGACCCTTCCGAGGGCCAGCTTGCCACCGGAATGTGGGAGGCATGGGTCGCGAGACACAGGACACAAGGGCACCCTCGATTTGGCAGGGTCGATCTGCTAATCCGGGCCGCCTGCACATGTCCCAAGGGTGGGCCAGGAAACCCCAAGACTTTGAAGTCCCGAAACGGTGCGGTGACAGACCGTGCGGTGACCTCGACATCGCCCGAGGCCTCACCGCACGGTCCGTCACCGCACGGCCTTGGGACCCTGGAGGCCCCAGTCGCCCGAGACGTCCTCGGAGAGCGGCCCGAGTCCCAAAACCGTGCGGTGACCCCGACTCCCCACCGACTCACCGCACGACGTGGTCACCACCCCGTTTGTCGACTGGGGGATCGACTACAGAATTGACTTACCCCAGACTCGATTTCCACGTCGACTCTTCAACGAACATACGTCAATCCCTCGTAGATCTGCGAAAGTTCTACGACTTGCCCGTGGATGCGACAAGAACATCCATTCTGGGTCACCACCCCGTTTGGGGGTCCCCGAAAGACGGCCCGTGGAGGACCCGATGGCCACGAGGTGGCTCCGCCCAGGGGAGGGCGGCGGCAGAGGGCACGGCCCCTCCCCCGCTCGGGGGAGGAGACAAAAACGGCCGACGGGGCCGAGGGCGGCGCCGCCGGCAGGAGCAGCAACGCGAGCGACGAGCAGCGGACGCTTGAACAGCGCACGACGAGCAACAGACACGGCGACGACGACGACGACGACGACGACGACGACGACGACGACGACGACGGCGGCGGCGGCGGCGGCGGCGGCGGCGGAGACGACGACGACGACGACAACGACGACGACACGCAGCGCGAGGCAGGGGCCGCTGGTCCTGGCACGAAGCGGCAGGACAGTGGGCCGCTGGCAGCAGCAGCGCCCAGGCCCCCCGCGGGCACGCAGCCTGGCGGCGGCGACTTTGCCGAAAGACTACGTCGTCGTCGTCGTCGTCGTCGTCGTCGTCGTCGTCGTCGTCGTCGTCGCCGTCGTCGTCGTCGTCGTCGTCGTCGTCGTCGTCGTCGTCGTTGTCGTGATCGACGTCGTCGTCGTCGGGCGGCGGCGTCCTCACGTAAAGAAAAAAATATAACTGGTGGAGGTCCGAGTGAATGTCCTGGATCGGCGCTGGCCACCCCCCTGCCGGCGCCATCTGGCGCCGCCACTGACGCGCTCCGCGCGCTGGGGAAGGGAGTCCAACACCGATCTAAGCAATCTGCGCGGACCGCCAACAGTTTGTGATTATGCACTTGATGCATTGTCGACTCAAGCGCCGCCACCGCTATCGCCGTCACCGTGGCGGCTGCAGTCGCTGTCGGAGTTGTCGCCCTCTGTCCGCGGTCGTCGGGCCAGTCGTCGTTGTCGCGGATCTTCGAGGCGTCGGGGGGGGGGGGGCGGCGAGTGGACCTCTGAACGTTGGCGCGTGGAACTGGAGCATCCACTGAGGGAACAAAATTGAAGGGGCCCTGGGACACACAAATAAATACACACAAGTAAACAAAACCCACATATTTTCCTATATTTTCTGGGTTTTTGTATTTCCCCCCCCCACTTCCCATATTTGATTTTCCTGTATTTTCTGGGAATCGACGATTCGTTGTGTCTGTGTGCTCTTCCCCTCCTGAAAAATACTGCGTAACCACGAGCTGTTGGAGGCCCGCGAAGATGTCGTGGGCTGGCGCTGGACCTCCCTCGCTGGCGTCGCAGAGCGCGACACAGGGGGCAGTGCCCGAGGCGCCGCCGGGGAGGCCGGCAGCGACGCGAGGAACCCGTCCGCGCGGACTGCAGAAACACTCCTCACTCTGACTAGCTACCAGGCCACCCCAACCCAACCCGAAGACTCCAATTTCGGGTTGGGGGGGGTACGGGTTCCATGTGTTTTTTCAGTGTTCCCGGACCCCCCCCCCACTGGAAACGGAGGACAAATTGAGGCCTTCGGGTTGGGTTGGGGTGGATTTGTGGGTGGTGACACTCTGCTCAGCGCGGGAGTCTGGATTTGAACAGGGTGCTGGAGATGAGAAAACGACCCAGCAAACGTGATCAACACTAAGGGGAAGAGAAGAGAGGAGGAGGAGGAGGAGGATCAATCAATCAATCAACCATTGCGAGCCTCTGTCACTCAGCAGTCCTGGTGACCTCTGCAGGCTCTTGGATGCGAACTATCGCCTACCAGCGGCCGACGCTGGAAGGATGGCCCTCTCTGGCCGAAGCGGGACCGCTGTAAGGGGAACGCCCAGCGGCCCGCACGCGGCACCATCCTTCGTGAAAGGAACAAGCACGGGCGGACAGAGCAGGGGAAGGAGGGAGGACAAGTGAGCAAGGTCGCAACGCTTCTCACTTCTCTCTTGCAATATGGAAAACCCCGAGCCTGGGCGGCCCGCACTGCCGCGGCCCGCACTGCCGCGGCCCGCAGCGGACTGGTAAAGAAATGCCCCGCCAGATTTTGATTCCCGTTGCTCTGTGTCTACAGGCGACCCCAATGCCAGAGTCACTCTGCTGGCGGCATGGGATTGGGGTGGAGATATCTACTAGCGGCACGATTGCTCTGATTCGGCACTGTCTCTACATTGACTTCTAGAGCCTGGCCGGCCCGCACTGCTGCGGCCCGCACTGCCGCGGCCCGCAGCGGACTGGTAAAGAAATGCCCCGCCAGATTTTGATTCCCGTTGCTCTGTGTCTACAGGCGACCCCAATGCCAGAGTCACTCTGCTGGCGGCATGGGATTGGGGTGGAGATATCTACTAGCGGCACGATTGCTCTGATTCGGCACTGTCTCTACATTGACTTCTATTCTGCGCACCTGCTCACTACGCTGCTGGAACTCTTCAAATGACATGATGGCGGGGGGATCTGCACTGCCAACCTGATGCAACAAGACACTGCGACTGCCGTTAAAATACCTGAGGATGGGGTGGTGGACGCGGGCCTGCAGGGCCTGTAATTGTATGCCCGTGAGGCGGCCTTCCCTATACATCTCTGCCATACGCTCAGATCCGTTCACTGCTTCAAGACGCAACGGCCTCAGAACCCCTCCCCGTCCTGGTCGCTGTCTACCTCGATGGTCTGCCTGTCGCTCTCGATCCCCATGCGCTTGAGCAGCCTCTCCGCCTCTCTCTCCAGCGCCCCCTTGGGGGGTCCGCCCGCTTTGTACTCCCCGCCCTGCTTGAGGATTGCCATGCAGAAGGCCTGGTGGAGCGGGATCGTGTTGGTCTGGTCGGAGGTGTTCCTCACTCCATTGACCTGGGAGTTGGGGCTCATCATGAACTGCAGCTTGAACCTGGTCGGCTTGTCGTCCTTCTTGCGGTCGTACCAGCAGCCCTTGATGCGCAGGAACCTGATCTGCTCCTGCAGCTGGATCAGGCCCTCCTCCTTGCTGAGGCTCGTGATCACCCCCCAGTAGGTCTTGAACGCCTTGATCGACGGCTCGTCCAAATTCGTCATCTGGCAGAAGTGCTTCAGGAGAGCCAGGAAGACGTGCGGCCACGGGGGGCCGTTGCCGTGCTGCTTGCCCTTCTTCTTGCAGTCCTGGGCGTAGGCCTTGCCCGCCTGCTGCATGATGCCGATCAGCGGGGCGCCCGCGGGGAGCAGAAAGCACGTGAAGCAGGCGCCTGTGAGGTCGGCGAGGAGGAGGAGGAGGAGGGGAGACAGATATCGCGAGCAATGGTCAAATACAGTGGGATCCAAAACCTAGGGGGTTCACAGACGGGGCTGGAGCAACAATGCACCGGCGCCGCCAGCGTAGTGACAACAGGGCTGAACATCGAGCCGCTACTCAAACCCCGTCTACTATACCTATGTTGGCCACGAACCGCGTCCAGAACGAATCTGCCCGGAACATTGTCCGGAACATTGTCCGGAACATTGTCCGGAACAAACGCGTGGACTCCACGTCCCTGGGCCCCCCCACTTCCGAGGTCCTTGGGAGCCCCAGGGCCCTCCGGCCTCGTAGCGCCCGCGGCCTGAAATCACCCTGGGATCCAATCCGCAATGGGATCCAGGACTTGTGCCGTTCTCTGCACTTCGATGGGAGGCATTCCACACCGAGCCGGCCGCAGCAGGGGACCCGAGGGGCGAGGGCCCCGCACCCAAACCCACGCAGACGGGCGCGGCGCGGCGGGGCCGTGCAGCTCGCGCGCGGCCAGCTCGTAGCTAGAGAACTGCGCATCCTGGCCCGCTACCCTCTTCAGTGTCGTCGTCGTCGTCTTCCTCGTTCTCCTCCTCCTGCTCCTCCTCCTTAGATCATGGTGATCATCATCATCATCATCATCATCATCATCATCATCATCATCATCATCATCATCATCATCATCATCATCATCATCATCAAGGCCGCCGCGAGCTCGAGCCATCGGAGGCGCAGCGGCCTCAGAGGACGCGCCCCCCCGTGCTCACGCAGCATGCAGAGGGCCTAGCACCCCACCCGCGCAGGGCGATGTGCACCGGCGCGCGTGCTCTGCACGCCGTACCGTGTCGAGTCCGACGTGAAGAAGGGCAATCATCCTACGAGCAGCTCGACAAGTGCCTCAAGCTGACCGCAAGCGAAGACTCCACCAATCGCACCAAGGTCGCGGATCTCATGCGCTACTACACCTCGAAGACCAGCGATGTGACGATCAGCCTGAAGGAGCACGTCAACTGCAAGAAGGATGGGCCGAACAACCAGGGGATGGGTGACGTCGGCTACGACAAGATCTACGACATCTACGTCCCGCCGCAGCACCTGCGCCTGTTCGACGGGCCTGGCCTGGTGGTCGACACCATCATCAAACCGAACATCTCCCGCGAGACGCTGCAGCAGAACAAGATCTTGCGAGTGATCAAGAAGAATCTCGTCAAGAAGTGTCTCGAGATGTTTACGGAGATCGCCGAGAAGAAGGACGACTACAAGAAGTTCTACGAGCAGTTCGGCAAGTGCCTCAAACTTGGCGTGCACGAAGATTCCACCAACCGCACCAAGGTCGCGGAGCTTATGCGCCACCACACCCCGAAATCTGGAGATGAGATGATCAGCCTGAAGGAGTATGTGGACCGCATGAAGGAGGGGCAGAATGACATTTACTACATTACGGGGGAGAGCATCGCAGCGGTGTCGTCCTCGCCTTTCCTGGAAACGCTGCGCAAGAAGGGCTTTGAGGTCCTCTACATGACCGATCCCATCGATGAGTACTCCGTGCAGCAGCTGAAGGAGTTCGACGGCAATAAGCTCAAGTCGACGACCAAGGAAGGTTCGGACCTCGAGGACCAAGACGAGAAGAAGAAGCTGGAGGAGCTGAAGGCGGAGTTCGAGCCGCTGACGAAGCTGATGAAGGAGGTGCTGGGCGACAAGGTGGAGAAGGTGGTTGTCAGTTCGCGCATGGCGGACTCGCCCTGCGTGTTGACCACGCACGGCCTGCAGCCGAAGCCTTTCGTCGAGGCCTGCTATGGCTTCTGGCAGGACGGCGACTTCATAAAGAACGACGAGCCCCTGAGCAACGTTCTGCCAGATGAACATGAAAGCGCAGGCCCTCCGGCATTACTGCATACACTCCTACATAGCGTCCAACAAGATTCTCATATTTGGCTTCCAGAGGTGGCGGGCAAGCTCACGGGCATGGCCTTCCGCGTGCCCACCATCGACGTGTCGGTCGTGGACCTCACCTGTGAGCTGGACAAGGCGACGACCTACGAGGAGATCGGCGCCGAGATCAAGAGGCGCTCCGAGGGCGACATGAAGGGATTCTTGGGCTACTGTGACGAGGCTCTCGTGTCCACCGACTTCGAGACGTGCCCCATCTCCAGCACCTTCGATTCCAAGGCGGGCATCATGCTGGACCCCACGTTCGTGAAGCTCGTGGCCTGCTACGACAACGAGTGGGGCTATTCGTGCCGTGTCGTTGACCTGATCAGGCACATGGCCAAGGTCGACGGGGCGTAGGATGTAGGATGGTGCCCGTCGCATCCTCACTGTGCATCGCAGGGCGCAGCCACCGCATGCTCAAGCCTGGCCTCAGCAGGCCTTGGAGGATGGAGACCTGCCCCCTCTTGAGGAGATCGCGGGCGCCGCCAACGAGGCATCGAAGATGGCGAAACGTCGACTGAGATGCTGTCTCACTTCCTTTCTGACGCACCCTCTGAGCCACGGCCATATTCGCATCTTTTTTACGTTAAGTGACTCGGGCACCCGCTCGCCTGCGTGTAATGGAGCTTTGAATTACTTGCGACTCGGATCGGCCACCGCCAGTCTTTCGTAAGCACCCGCTCGCATGCAAGCTAGATACACGGTCTCTGGCTGCGCGTCGAAGCACCCCGAGTGCACTCGCCCCACGCGGGTTTATCGGGACATGACTCTGTTATGTTCTCTGCGACGGACCACCAATTGCACACTTGGTCCTGATGTCGAGGAAAAAAAACATCATCATCATCATCATCATCATCATCATCATCATCATCATCATCATCATCATCATCATCAATCGTCGTCATCATCATCATCATCATCATCATCATCATCATCATCATCATCATCATCATCATCATCATCAGAATCGTCATCATCATCATCGTCAGCATCATCGTCGTCGTCGTCGTCGTCATCATCGTCGTCATACACAAGTGAGACGAGCAGTGCGACGAGCACCGCGTCCCTGAGCAGGACGGAAACCAGCAGCACGAAACAGATCAGCACGACAGAGATGTTTACAACAGAGAGCAGCAGCAGCACGACTCTCACGTCTACAAGTAGGACGAGCAGTGTTACGAGCGTCGTGCCGGTGAGCAGCACGGCGGGCATCGGTACGACGGAAACCAGCTCTCCGACCTTGAGCAGCACTACGGGTACCAGCACGACAGGTGCCAGCAGTAGCACGAAGGAGAATAGAACGACGGAGAGCAGCGACTATACCTTGACCTCCACATGCTCGACCACCAGCACGACGCTGAGCAGCACAGTGGGCAGCAGTGCCAGTAGTCTGTCCCCCACGAATGGGACGGGCAAAGTTTCGAGCACCATGTCTCCGAGCCGGTCGGGATTGATCAGCAACACACGTCGTCGAGTAGAAGCACGGGGAGTAGCACTACAACTCTGACATCCAAGAGTGAGACGAGTACAACGGGTATCAGCTCCAGCTCTCCACAAGAGACTAGCACTTCCACGACGACAGTGCAAGTTGTTAGCACGATCAGTGGGAGGATGGACCTGGTGGTCTCCGATTCCGCAGCCTCCGTGAGCGATGCCGCCGCCGTGGCAGCTGTGACGGCCAGCATCGCCAGCCTGGTGGGCGTGGCGGTACAGTCGGGGCGCTGAAGAAGGAACCCTTTTCGTTTGGGAGGGGCTCCGTGTTCCTGAGTTGTTTTACAGCGCTCCTGGGGTGTTCCTGCGGTTTTCCATGGAACATCGAAGTTTGACTTATGGGAAAAAGGGGCCTCGCTCCTTATTTAGGGTTCCTTGGGTCAACGCCCCAACGGTAAGTCCAAGTGTCAGTGACTCTGAGCATCGGCAGGCCACTCGCCGCGATGCCGAGCCACGTGGCGGGTGCCGCGTGGGGGGCACCGGCCTCTCCGGGCTTGGCCAGCGTGGGAGGGCGCGGGCACCAGGGCGCTGCCTGCGACCAACAACGGAAACGTGCAGGTCGGCTACAGTCGGGGCGTTGACCTAAGGAACCCTGAATAAGGAACGAGGCCCCTTTCTCCCATAAGTTACACTTCGATTTCAGATCGAAAACGTCATGAAAACCTAAGGCAAGCTGTAGAACGAGCCCCTCCCCAACGAAAAGGGTTCCTTCTTCAGCGCCCCGACTGTACAGCACCACGACCGTCGGTGGCCCAGGCACCTTTGACGATCTCAGCTCGGACACCGCCTCTGCGCCGACTGCCTGAGGCGCAGCGTCGACCACGGAGGACTTGACCAATGTCAACCTGCAGAGCCAGGGCGCGAGCTACTCTGTGACCGTCGAGAGATTCAGCGCGCCGGCGATCGACAGCGTCACGCTGACGGTGACGTCGACGACTGCGACGCTTAGCATCAGCAGCACAAGGTCGATTCCGACATTAGCGTTGAACAGTACGACAGGCACCAGCAGCACAACAGAGAGCAGCCGCACCGCTCTGACTTCCACACTTGAAACGAGCAGCGTGTCGGGTACAGCGTTTTGGAACAGCAATACAAGTAGCAGCACAACAACGTTGAGCAGTACGACGGAGACCAGCACCACGACCCTGACATCATTGACAGAGACGAGCAGTGCTACGAGCGCCGCGTCTCTGAGCAGCAGCACGTCGGGGACCCGCAGCACGTCGTTGAGCAGCACGACGGAGACAAGCAGCGTTACCTTGACCTCCGCGAGTAAGATTAGTCAAGCGACAGAGATTAGCACACGCTCCAGTACCAGCACGACGATGAGCAGCACAACAGAGAGCAGCATCACGGCCTTGAACAGTCCGACTGGCACCAGATCCACGAATCTGACATCCACGAGCTGGACGAGCAGTGCAACGAGCACTGCGACTTTGACCAGGACGGATGCCAGCCATACAGAACTGATCAGCACAACATGGACGTTTCCATCAGAGAGCAGCAGCAGCAGCAGCAGCAGCACGACTCTCACGTCTACAAGCGAGACGAGCACTGTGACGAGCATAGCGTCGGAAGAGCAGCACGGCGGGCACTGGCACCGCAACTCTGACATCCACGAGCGAAACGAGCGGTTTAACGAGCAGCGCGACGCAGAGTAGCAGCACCGCACAGTCCTCCACGAATGAGTCGAGGACCGCGGATTTGGGAAGTGCGACGGGCACCAGCAGTTCGACGTGGAGCGGCACAACGGAGAGCAGCAGCACCACCCTGACATCTACGAGCGAGACCAGCAACCTGTCAAGTGCAATTTTTTGACCAACGAGGCAAGCAGCAGGAGCACAACGATTATCAGCACGATGCCCACCAGACTACTACTACTACTACTACTACTACTACTACTACTACTACTACTACTACTACTACTACTACTACTACTACTACTACTACTACTACTACTACTATACTACTACTACTACTACTACTACTACTACTACTACTACTACTACTACTACTACTACTACTACTACTACTACTACTACTACTACTACTACTACTACTACTACTACTACTACTACTACTACTACTACTACTACTACTACTACTACTACTACTACTACTACTACTACTACTACTACTACTACTACTACTACTACTACTACTACTACTACTACTACTACTACTACTACTACTACCTACTACTACTACTACTACTACTACTACTACTACTACTACTACCTACTACTACTACTACTACTACTACTACTACTACTACTACTACTACTACTACTACTACTACTACTACTACTACTACTACTACTACTACTACTACTACTACTACTACTACTACTACTACTACTACTACTACTACTACTACTACTACTACTACTACTACTGCTACTGCTACTGCTACTGCTACTGCTACTGCTACTACTACTACTACTACTACTACTACTACTACTACTACTACTACTACTACTACTACTACTACTACTACTACTACTACTACTACTACTACTACTACTACTACTACTACTACTACGACTACTACTACTACTACTACTACTACTACTACTACTACTACTACTACTACTACTACTACTACTACTACTACTACTACTACTACGACTACGACTACGACTACTACGACTACGACTACGACTACTACTACTACTACTACTACTACTACTACTACTACTACTACTACTACTACTACTACTACTACTACTACTACTACTACTACTACTACTACTACTACTACTACTACTACTACTACTACTACTACTACTACTACCACTGCTGCTACTACTACTACTACTACTACTGCTACTACTACTACTACGATTACTACTACGACTGCTGCTGCTACGACTGCCACTGCTACTACTACTACTACTCCTACTACTCCTACTACTACTACTACTACTACTACTACTACTACTACTACTACTACTACTACTACTGATACTACTACGAATACTCCTACTCCTACTACTACTACTACTACTACTACTACTACTACTACTACTACTACTACTACTACTACTGCTACCTCTACGACCTACCTACTACTGCTACTACCTACTAGTACTACTACCATCACCATCATCATCATCATCATCAGCATCATCATCATCATCATCAGCATCATCATCATCATCAGCAGCAACATCAGCATCAGCATCAGCATCAGCATCATCATCATCATCATCATCAGCATCATCAGCATCATCATCAGCATCATCGTCGTCAGCATCATCACCACCATCATCATCGGCGTCATCATCATCATCATCACCACCATCACCACCATCAGCGCCATCATCAGCATCGTCATTATCATCATCGTCAAGGTCAGCATCATCAGCATAATCAGCATCAGCAGCAGCAGCATCATCATCAACAACCAGCACCATCAGCATCATCAACAGCATCATCGTAATCATCATCATCGTCGTCAGCAGCATCACCATCAGCATCATCAGCATCATCAGCATCACCAACACCAGCATCATCATCATCAGCATCATCACCATAATCATCACCATCACCATCATCATCCTCATCGTCGTCTTCGTCGTCGTCATTATCATCAGCATCCTCAGCAACATTATCATCATCATGGTCGTCAGCATCATGATCATCGTCATCTTCAGCATCATCATGATCGTCGTCATCAGTAGCAGCATCATCATCAGCATCATCATCACCAACACCAGCATCATCATCATCAGCATCATCAGCATCATCAGAATCATCAGAATCAGCATCATCATCATCATCATCATCATCATCTCCATCACCATCATGATCAGCATCGCCAGCAGCAGCATTAATATACTCGGCATCCTCATCATCGTCATCAGCAGCAGCATCGTCATCATCATCATCACCATCAGCAGCGTCATCGGCATAAATAACATCATCCTCAACATCATCAACAGCATCATCACCGTAAGGGCCATCGTCGTCGCCATCGTCACCCCCACAGCATCACCACTAAGAGCACAATCATCAGCAGCAGCATCATCACCATCATCACCATCATCATCATAATCAGCATCAGCATCAGCTTCATCATCGTCATTATCGTCATCGTCATCATCAACAACATCTGATCAGCGTCAGCATCAGCATCAGCAGCATCATCATCATCATCGTCGTCATCAGCATCATCATCAGCATCAGCATCACCAACACTAGCATCAGCATGCTCAACAGCACCATCAAAATCATCATCATCGTCATCATCATCAGCAGCATCATCATCGCCATCACAATCACCATACCCATCACCATCATCATCATCAGCATCATCATCATCATCGTCGTCATCATTATCATCATCAGCGTCATCAGCGGCAGCATCATCGTCGTTAGCATCAGCGCCATCGTCATCATCAGCAGCATCACCATGATGGTCATCATCAATATCATCACCAGCATCATCATCATCACCACCACCACCATCTCCATCATCATCATCATCATCATCATCATCAGCATCATCATACTAAGATTCACCATCATCATCATCATCATCATCAGCATCAGCATCATCATCATCATCATCATCATCATCATCATCATCATCATCATGATCATCATCAGCATCATCATCTCCATCACCATCATCATCCTCATCAGCAGCAGCATTATCACCATCAGCATCCTCATCATCATCATAAGCAGCAACATCGTCATCAACATCCTCATCAACAACCTCATCATCAGCATCATCATCCGCAATCACCAACACCAGCATCATCATGATCATCATCATGAGCATCATCATCAGAATCATCATCATCTCCATCCCCATCATCATGATCATCATCATCAGCAGCAGCAGCAGCATTATCATCATCAGCATCCTCATCATCACCACCATCATCATCAGCAGCAGCGTCGTCATCATTATCACCATCAGCAGCATCATCGTCATCAATAACATCATCCTCCACCTCCTCAACAGCATCATCGCCGTGAGAGCCATCGTCGTCGCCATCGTCGTCGTCAACAGCATCACCACTAAGAGCATCATCATCAGCAGCAGCATCACCATCATCACCCTCATCGTCATCACCATCATCAGCATCATCATAATCAGCATCAGCATCATCGTCATTATCATCATCGTCATCATCATCATCATCATATCAGAATCATCGTCATCCGCATCAGCATCAGCATCAGTATTACGAGCGTCATCAACAGCGTCACCATCATCATCATAATCATTATGATGATCATCATCATCATCATCATCATCATCATCATCATCATTACCATCATTATCAACAGTAAGAGCATCACCATCATCATCAGCATCAGCATCATCACAGTGGGCGGTGTCGCCATCTTCAGCGTCATCACCCAGCTGATCAGAATCCTCGTCATCGTTCTCATCATCACCACCACAACCATCAGCAATAGCAAGACCCTAATCACCACCACCACCATCAACATCCTCATCAGCATCATCATCAACATCACCGTCATCGTTATTGTGATCTTCATCAACATCGTCAGCATCATCATTACGACGATCAGTCTCATCCTCATCCGCATCCTCATCCTCATCAGCATATTCATCACCCCCATCATCACAACACTACCAACATCATCAGCATCACCACAACCATCATCACCATCATCATCATCACCAGCATCGTCGTCATCATCATCATCAGCATCGTCATCGTCAACACCATCATCACCATCATCATCATCAACAGCAGCACCATAATCAATAGCATAATCATCATCAGCATCATGAGCATCATCAGCATCACCATTATCAGCAGTATATTCATCATCATCCCAATCATCAACCGTCCTTCTCCTCCTCCTCCTCCAAACTCCCTCCTCCTGCTCCTCCTCCTCCTCCTCCACCTCCTCATCCTCATCTTCCTCCTCCTCCTCCTCCTCCTCCGTCTCCTCCTCCTCCTCCTCCTCCTCCTTCTCCTCCTCCTCCTCCTCATCATCATCTGTCTCCTCCTCCTCCTCGTCCTCCTCCCTCCATCTCCCTCCCTCCCTCCCTCTCCCTCTCTCCCCCCCGTTCGTCCCTCTCTCCCTCCCTCCATCCTTCCTCTTCATTCCTTCCTCCTCTCCCCTCGCTCATCTCTTCCTCTTCCTTCAATTCTACCTCCTCCCAGCCTTCCATCTTCCTTCATCCTCCTCCAGTGCCCGCCGCTATCATGCATCGTTGCTGCATTGGCCACCGATCGCCCAAGTCCAAAGCCGTGTCAACGGAAGGCGGAAATGGGAAATCGACCCCACGTGGCTCCCAAACCGATGGCAGCCAGGGAGGGTTGGCTCACCCCCGCCATTAGCGGCTAGCACACGGGGGAAGTAGGAGGGGACAGGCCTTCTCGGAAGGCGGCGGAGCTTCTCAGACGCCATCGCGCCTCCTGAGGTGGTCTCTAAGCCTGAAGCCTTCTCCGAAGGCAGAGCCGGCGCGAGGGCTAATGAGAAGCCTCGCCGCCTCCCGAGAACGCCCGCCCCTCTCATTTTCCCCCTGAGCGCATCTCATCGACGGCAGCGATGACCTCCGCCACGTGAGCCCCGAACCCTCCCCTTGCCATCGCTCGGACGTCAACTCTCCGTGCATGCTTCGGTTTCCTGCGCACTCGCAAGATGACCCGGAATGTTGGAGGAATGGAAAGGGGCACCAACACCAACACAGGGTGTTGCCTCCACAGGGGGAAGATGATCCTAGATTTCGGTGTTGGTGGCAATACTTCGACCGCCTTGGAGGGTAGAACATTGCCACCATCGCCGAGATCGGGCTCTGCTTCCTTCGGTAGAGGCACATCCCCGATGTTGGATGTTGGTGGTGGTGTCAACCTCTAGGCCTGCGAGAATGCTCCTCGATGGTTCTCGCCGTGCACGCGTCCGAGCGGTGCCAAGGCCACGGGAGCCCCGAACGCTCCACCCAGCAGGCCCCCCCTCGTCCTGCAGCGACACGCAGGCGCGCCGCAGCCCGCTGGACGCGTCCGGCTCCTGCCCACCGCCCTCCGCGCGCGGCGGGGGCTCGAGGCCTCCTAAACGGGGTCGGAGCAGATTTGGGTCGGGCGTGTCCCCCTGCAGGCGGATGTTGGGCGAAAAATGAAAAATACCCCAGAAAGATTCAACAAAAATTAAAAACTACTAGAAAAATAGTCCCCCTACGATGGTTTCACTATTTTTGAATTTTCCCCGTGTAGAGGGACAGGCCCGACTTGAGGCCAGAGGCCCCCTCAACGGGGTCGGAGTAGACGGGGGCGCGCCGCATCGCCGATGCACCGGCGACACATCGCCGGTGCATCGGCGCTGCATCGGCGCTGCATCGGCGACGTCGGCGATACTTCGACGACGCCAGCGCGGAGAACATCCAAGGGCTCCCCACTTCGCGCTTCGCGCTGCGCGAAGCGCGAAGTGCGAATGACTTCGCGCTCTCGGGCCGCCTTCCAGGGGAGAAGAGGAGGATGAGGAGGAATCGTAGCCGAACCGCGAAGCGCGAATAACTTCGCGCCCTCGAGGGCGCCCTTGAACATCGGGCTCCACATCGAGCCGCATCGCCGATGCCTTGGCGAGGCGGGCCCCCTCCGGGAGGCCTGCAGGGGCGCCCCCCTCGGAGGGGGCGCGGCGCTTGCCCGGGGAGCGCCCCGCGACACGGCGGCGGCGGCGGGTGCCGGCGGCAAAACGGCCGCGGCGGCGGCGACGACGGCGTCGACAACGCTAACGGTGACGCAGAGACCAGGGCGACGCAGTCGGCGGCGATGGCGACTGCCACGGCGACGGCAGCGGCGACGCCGGGACGGACGACGACAGCGGCGACGACGACATCCTTTGGCATGCCGAGGACCTCCAGGACATCTTGGAGACCACTCTGTATCTCTATCTCTCCTGCTATCTCCGTCCCTCTTTTTCTCCGTCTCTGCCGCCTCTGTTTCGCGTCTCTTTCACTCTCTCTCTCTCTCTCTCTGTCTGTATGTATTTCTCTCTCTCTCTCTCTCTCTCTTTATTTTGTTTTTCTCTCTCTCTCACCAAGTATGAACGAGCAGTACACGGTGTATTAATATTAATGTGTACAGATATGAAGGCTGCCTTCTCAACATATGCATATATACACATTACTGTGAATACATGGTGCGATGTAAATAGGTAAGAGCCGACAAGAACTGCATGAGTGCATGCACATGTTCATGTAGGCGTATGCCTGTGCATACCTAGATACATACATATATGTATGCATACATACATACATACATACATACAGGCATGTATGCATCCATACATACATGCATATATGCATACCTATGTACAGGCATTCATACACACAGACAGGTGTATATATAGAGAGAGATGCCGTTCCCAACTCTATATATGTGTATAAATCCCTCCCTCCATCTATATACATGTACGCGCGTGCGTATATGAGCACATCTGTATGTAGCGATGTACATATGTTTGAATATGCGCGTGTACCAATAGCCATGAGCATGAATACGCATACACACACATATCTATAAACTTTATATCTATATATATATATATGTGTATGTATATACAAACAGCTGCATTGACGCTTCGCGCCATGCATCTTGTCCCTTGAAGTCTTGAAGCGGTTGGCCTGTCGCGCCTTCTTCTTTTCCCTTTGAGGCGTGCTCGCTCGCTCGTACCACGGAGAAGCTAGGGAAGAGGAGAAAGGGACAGTCAATTTGGGACGGGCAGAGACTGTGAGTCGGAGACCACGGGCGTACGGAATTGCGTGAATGGAAACTGCTGAAGTCCTGGATGCGCAACAGAATTTCCAGAAAAGTTACTGCGAACCTGGGGTTGTGGGCAAACTGCGGCTTTCTGGAATTAAGTACCATCTGACGGGCGAGAACTCAGGAATCTATGTGGGGGCCTGCCGAAGCGGTGTGAGGGCCTTGTGGCCCATCTCGGAGCCACCTCGGACTGTCCTCGGGGCGTCTTGGGACTGCCGCTCAACCGTTTGCACGATGGGGTGAACGTTGAGAAAACGCCTTGGAGAGCTGGAATTCCTGGGTAGACCTGTTGAGGAGCGTCCAGACGGTGTCCCCGGGCTGTCATGGAGCCGCCTATGGCCAATTTGGGAGTCGTTTAGAGCCCGCATGGCGCCTTCCTATAGAGTGAGGATGCTGATTTGGCTCGTGCTGGGGCCTCCCCTGGCCATCAGGGCGCCGCACATGGGCAGTTTTGGGGGCCGTCCCGGGCCCTCGTGGGGCCGCTTTGGGGATTCAGGATGCGCGTTTAGCTTTAGTTGGAGCGGTGTTCGGAACTTTGACCATGTTTTCGGACACCCAGCAGACCGAAAGAACGAATGGTAGTAAATATTACAACATCATTGAACAATCAGTGTTGTTTCTGGGTCGGGCGTGTCTTGGAGATACCTTTCGGGTCGCCTCAAGACATCCGACGAGGGTCAAGGCCAATTTGATGCCATGTTTGACCGTCTTGGGCGTGCCTTGGGCCGTCCGCCGGCCGCTTTGGGGTCAGTTTGGGGAGGTCATGGGGCCACCCGTAGGCAATTTAGGAACCGTCTTGGGCCCCCGCACGGCTTTTCTGGAGTAGGGAAAGGTTTCCGGAGCCTCGCCTGCGTTCTCGGACGCCTGGCAAACCGAATGAGGAATAGTCGAAAAGCAAACAGAAACCACATAATAATCAAAATCTTCAGGGTTTCGAGCGCCTCTTGGAAGTGACATTCGCAGCGCCTTCGAACATCCAGCAAGGTCCTGGACCTCACGATGCCATATTGGACCGTTTGTGGCGTCTCTAAGGCCGTGCGCCAGCCGTCGCGGGGTCAGTTGTGGGCGGTCATGGGGACTCTTGTGGGCAGTTGGGGGACCGCTTCGGGCGCTGATGGAGCTTATTTGGCCGTCTAGGAGCGGTTGCCAGTACGTTTCCAATGTTCTCGGACGCGTAGAAGGCCGAATTAGCGAGCATCCGCGAAACATTGATAAGTTTGGGGTTCGAACGCCTCTTTGGGGTGCCATTGGGGTGATATTCGGGCATCCGGCGGGGGCCAAGGCTAGCTGGATGCCATCCTGGACCGTCTCGGGTGCCTCTTAGGGCTTCCGCCGAACGATTTGGGACTGCCACCCACCTGCCTGCACGCCTTTGGCAAGGATGTCCGGCCTCCCCCCGTGCCACGGATCCCGGGGGTCCCGTTTCAGGGGGGGTCGCACCCCCCCCCGATTATAAAAATATACTACGGAAATATTATACAAAAATGTGGATATACCTATTCTCATATTTAGTACCCGGAACCCCCCCCTACCCCCCACCCTAAACCGGATCCCCCCCCCAGAGACGCCATGGACGCCCTTTCGGACATCTCAGCGGCCCCCTGGACGCCCTTGGAGAAGGTCCGATGGTCCTTCCGGGCCTCCCAGGGCGACTTGCCGGGCCTTGCGAGCAGACTCAAGGCGATCAGAGGGGTTATCGGAAAGGCGCAAGAGAGACCCAAGACAGCACAAGAGAGCTCCAAGAGGAACCTTGATGGTCTGAAGACGGCCCAAGAGGCCCCCAAGACGCCCCAAGAGGTTGTTAAGAAAGCCCCGAACCAAAAAAAAAAAAAAAAAAAAAAAAACGCCTCATCCCCCCTGGGAAAATGTATAAGTTTGACATATCCGCTGTTTGGGACTTCGCAAAGTCCAAGGCGGCCCGATGGGCCCCCGATATCGCCCCATGACGGCCCAAGAGGCCCCCCAGAGGTTTTGAAGACGGCCCAAAAGGGCCCCAAGACTGCCCCAAAAAGCCCGAGACTGCCCGTGAGAAGCCCAAGATGCCCCCCAAAAGTTCAAAACAAAACAAGAAAAGAAAAACAAAAAACACAAAAAAACAACAAAAAAAAAACGGAAGACCCCCGAGAAGGCAATTGGAGGCCCCCCAAGAGGGCCCTGGGATGGTTTCAGAAGACCTCTGGAGGGCCCCAGCTCCCCAAGACGGCCCAAGAAGGCCGTGGGACGGCCCAAGAGGGCCCCAGGACAGTCCAAAAGAGCCCCAAAAACGCCCAGACGGCGTTTTCCTGCGAAGTACATCGAGCTGACCCGAAGATCTTGGTTACACGCTTGAGGCTCGAGGTTTAAGTTCCTCGATCGAGAGAGACAGGCAATAGATCTAAATTCGATGATCGACAATCCAAGATTTCCTGAGTGCCCCGAGCCCTCCAAGCATCCAGGAAGCTACCAAAAATCAATTTGATCGGAGCTCCTGCGACTTCTTCGGCGTGTCATGGGAACGCTCCTTACTTCCTCAAAGGACATTCGCGCGCGAAAAAATCACCATTCCGGCCCCACTCCTGCGCACAAGCGTGCAAGCGCATCGGGCGAACGCGGTGCCAGCAAGCACCAGGGATATCAGAAAAATGAGCTGGTCGCCCGTCCACGCTTCGAGGTCCCCCCCGCTGAAGCAAGCGATGATGTATTGTTTTGCCGGGGAGGGTCCGGAACAAAGCGCATGGCGCGAAGCGCCAATGCAATATTGTGTATATATATATACATATATATAAACTAGAACCACGCGCGCGCTACGCGCGCGCTTAGATTCTAGTACACGTTTGAGGCACCGTCGGCGAGCAATTGGCGGACTCCATGACGCTTGTGTGCTATGGGTCGCAGGCCCGCTCGTCGGATGTTGCGTGTACTCTGCGGTGATCAGATCTTCTCCTATCCAGGTCCTGCTTTGTGGCACCTAGCGGCTTGTAGTGGCTCTCAGTGACTCCTCCTCCGCGCGCCGTCGATGTACACAAGCACGCCGTTACGCTGTGCGCCCCTCAACCCCAGCCACTCGCGCGGGGCCAGCGGACGTGAAGCCGAATGCTGGAGAGCTATACTACTTGCGCCTTCTCCTCCTGCTCGTGACTGGAAAGGGCGTCACGTCATGGATGGCCCTGAAGCGCCACCCTCATCATGTTCCCGGACCGCCTTCCGGGAACATGATGGGGACGACTTCTGAGGGCCTCCAATGGGCCTCTTGGGGGCCTGTCGGAAGCCTGTTGGGCTCTCCTGGAAGGTCTCGGGGCGCGCTCAGGGCCATTTGGGGGCATCTTGGGGGCCTCTATATATGGGGAAGAAATTGAAATACGTGGAAGGAAGTGGCACGACTCGGGAGGGCTTGGGGGAGGGATATGTGTATATATATATATATATATGTATATAGATATGTGTATATATATATATGTGAAAGGTAGATCTCAGAGGGCGCTGTAACCATATATATACATATGTATATATATATATACACCCATACGTGAGACATGTAGGATTGTGCACACAGGAGAAAGACCATCTATAGAAACGTAGTGCGTCGTCCAAGGCGCCTCCGAAGGCGCCTCGGAAAACGCAGAAAACTCCTCCAAGGCGCGGAATCATGTTCCTGGACCGCCTTCCGGGAACATGACGGGGACGACCTTCTGAGGGCCTCCCGTGGGCCTCTTGGGGGCCTCTCGGAGGCCTGTAGATATACATTATATATATATAGACCCATACGTAAGGCATGTAGGACTGTGTACACAGGAGAAAGACAATCTATTTAAACATAGGTACGTCGTCCAAGGCGCCTCGGAAGGCGCCTCGGAAAGCGCAGAATACTCCTCCAAGGCGCGGAATCATGTTCCCGGACCGCCTTCCGGGAACGACCTTCTGAGGGCTTCCAGTGGGCCTCTTTGGGGCCTCTCGGAGGCCTGTTGGGCTCTCCTGGAGGCGTCTTGGGGCGCGCTCAGGGCCATTGTTGGGCATCTTGGGGGCCTCTATATATGGGGAAGAAATTGTAATACGTGGAAGGAAGTGGCACGACTCGGGCGGGCTTGGGGGAGGGGGGTGTGTATATATATATATATATATATATATATATACATACATATATATATATATATATACATATATATGTATGTGTGTGTGTGCGTATATACATAGAGAGAGAGAGAGAGAGAGACCCATACGTAAGACATGCAGGATTGTGTACACGGGAGAAGGACAATCTATAGAAAGGTAGTACGTCGTCCAAGGCGCCTCGGAAGGCGCCTCGGAAAGCGCAGAATACTCCTCCAAGGCGCGGAATCATGTTCCCGGACCGCCTTCTGACGGGGACGACCTTCTGAGGGCCTCCAGTGGGCATCTTGGGGGCCTCTCGGAGGCCTGTGGGGCTCTCCTGGAGGCGTCTTGGGGCGCGCTGAGAGCCATTTTCAAGCCTCTTGGGGGCTTCTGGGGGCTTTCGGGGAGGCTCTTGGGGGCCTCTTTGGGGCCTCTTGGGGCCTCGCGGGGCCCTCTTGGGGACCGCTGGGCTCGCTTAGGCAATCTTGAAGCCCTGTCGGGGCACTCCTGGAACCGTCTTGGGCGGCTCCTGGGCCATCTTGGGGCTCTCCTGGACCGTCTTGGGACGATTTTGGGGGTCTCTTGGGCCGTCTTGGGGCGGTCTTGGGGACCTCTCCGGCAGTCTTGAAGCGGTTTTGGGAGACTCTTGGGCGGCCTTGGAGCGTCGGAACCCCGAAAAAGCGAGAAGGCCAAAAACCTCGAACAAAAACTATACAAACCAACGATTTTGGCTTGTCGGGGCTCTCTTGGGAGGCCTCTTGGGATGCCTTCGGGGCCTCATGGAGCTCTCTTGGAACGTCTTCGGGCCTTCCTGGCCATTCCTGAGGCTATCTATGCGCGTCTTGGAGCGCTCGCGGGCCGTCTTGGGCGGTCTCGAACTGTTCCTGGCGGTCCCAGGGGCCCTCCGGGACGCTTCGGACGCTCCCGGGGGCGCCCTGCACACCCCATGGAGATGACAGGCACCGCCCCGGGGCCCTACTCCGATATATATATATATATATATATATATATAAGTCAGTCGTGGCTTCGTATACGAATGTGAAACAACAAATGCATCCTACACATACTCACACCTGTGTGCGTGTGTGCAGAAATTGATTCGGCGCGTGCGATTAGTGGTGTCCCTCTGTGTCTGCACATACAAATGTAAAACGATAAATGTTGCACCTGTGAATGTAATCATACAGACGTACACATACATGTACATCAAATGCCCTGGCATGTTGTGTCCAGATGTGTGTATGTGTGCGAAGATAAAAAATCATAAGCATAGCATAAGACCACATATATACACATACATGCATACTTTTCCGTACTGGCTCCAGGTATGTATCCACATGTAGTTGAATTGTATACATTCACACACCTGTGCGTATGTGCAGACATGTACATAGGTGCGCGCGTTGGACGGGATGTGTCATTCTATCGCTGCACACAGAGGCACACATGCTCATGTCGTACATTACATCTATGCATACATACGTGCACATGCACATGCAAGTCCCTGGGAGTAAGGAGAGGAATCGGAGGACAGTAGAGGAGGAGGGAGGAGGAGGAGGAGGAGGAGAGAAGGGAGGAGGAGGAGGAGGAGGAGGAGGAGGAGGAGGAGGAGGAGGAGAAGGGGGAAGGGAGGAGGAGATATACGGGGAGGGGGAGGAGGAGGAGGGAGGGAGGAGGAGGAGAGGAGGGAGGAGGAGGGAGGAGGGAGGAGGAGGAGGGAGGAGGAGGAGGAGGAGGAGGGCATCGCAGGACAGGCCAAGACAGGCCCGCGGACACGGACGTCCGTGCCAGCGCTGTCCGAGCACTCCGCTGCCGCTGCGGGGCGAATGTGCACCAGACTGGTCAGAGGCCTGCCTGCGCCCCGCAGGGGCCGAGGGCCGCCCAAAGGGGGAAGGCAAGACAACTCCCTCCTCGTGCTCCTCCAACTCGTGTTAATCCCTCTTACCCCCCTCGTTGGTCTCCCCGTCTTCCACTGCGTCCTCTTCCGCCTCCTCCTCCGTTTCCTCCTCCTCCTCCTCCTGCTGCTCCTGCTCCTGGTCCTCCTCCTCCTCCTGCTCCTCCTCCTGCGTCCTGTGATGATTCCATCCCCTCGTCCTCCCTCCTCCTCCTGCTCCTCCTCCTGCTCCTCCTCCTCCTCATCATCACCAACACCACCACCACAACCACCACCACCACCACCACCACCACCATCATCATCATCATCATCATCATCATCATCATCATCATCATCATCATCATCATCATCATCATCATCATCATCATCATCATCATCATCATCATCATCATCATCATCATCATCATCATCATCATCATCATCATCGTCATCGTCATCGTCATCATCATCATCATCATCATCATCATCAGCATCATCATCATCATCATCATCATCAGCAGCATCATCATCATCAGCATCATCATCATCATCAGCATCTCATCATCAGCATCATCATCAGCATCATCGTCAGCATCATCAGCATCATCATCAGCATCATCATCAGCATCAGCAGCATCATCATCATCCTCATCCTCATCCTCATCATCATCATCATCATCAACAGCAACAGCATAATCATCATCATCAGCATCAGCATCATCCTCATCATCATCAGCATCATCATCAGCATCATCATCACTATTTTCGCCTCCTCCTTCTCCTTCTGTCGCTCCTCCTCCTCCTCGTCATTCATCCTTTTTCCTTTTACATGGCTCCTCCCTGTCGCACCCCAAGACGTGTCAGTAGGGCAGACTGGGCGTGTCGCCTGAGACCTCCTCGCCATTTGCGATCATGAAACTTCGAATTTGCCACAGCTTGACGCATGGAGTGGTGGCTGGATTTCGCCTCAACGCCGCGAGCATTTTTCTCTCGTTTGCAAGAGGGTTCACAGAAGGCGGGCGAGTGGCTTTCACAATGCGGCTCTCGCCTTAGCTCCGCGCACATTCGTCTTGAGACTGTGCGAGGATTTCACGGATGGGAGGCGAGCCCTTTTCAAATGTAGCTCTCGCCTTAGCGCCGGGCACATTCGTCTTACAAGGTTGCAAGGGTGTTCACGGATCAAGGGCGGGCGGTAATGACAATGTGACTCTCGCCTTAACGCCGCGCACTTTCGTTTCCAAAAATTCCAACTGTTTCAGAAAGGTTATCATCAATGACACCTCGGGAATTGTGACTCGCGGTGTTGAAATCCCAACAAAGGTATTCCGGCACGATTCAGCGATAACGTCGATTCGCAGCGTTGAAGTCCCAGGTGTTGTGTTTTGGCACGGATGGGCATTCTGAGACGGTGGTCCTCCAACGGGACACTTCCCGCAGTAAGTATGAATGTTGTAGGGACATATGAAGAGGGAACTTGCAGGAAGGGTTTACTGCAACATTGTTGATGCGTCTTGGGTTTAGTCTGGTCCTCCTCCGCCTCCTCCTCATCCTTCTCTTCTTCCTCCTTCTCCTCCTTCTCCTTTCTCCTCCTTCTCACTTCTCCAGTAACGCTTTATCCCTCCCGCCTGCCTCATCCCTCCTTCCTCCTCCCTGCTCCCCCTCATCCCTCTCCCCCCCCTCCCCCTCCTCCCCCTCCTCCTCCTCCCTCCTCATCCTCCTCCTCTTCCTCCTCCTACTCCTCCTCCTCCGACAGCAGCACGTCGCCGACATTCACAACCAGGACTTCCTCCTCCTCTCCTCCTCCGTCATAACTTTTTGTGTGTTGCACAGAATCATTTATTGTGTGTCTCGCAGTTCCTGTGCATGTCTCTATGTTTACAGGAGGCCATGGCCTCACCCACCTGGTCTGAGCAGGCCCGGACAGCTGTCCGATGTGGTGGTTCGTTCGTTCGTTCGTTCGTTCGTTCCTCCTACTCCTCCTCCCCCTCCCTCCTCCTCCTCCTCCTCCTCCTCATCCTCCTCCTCCCCCTCCTCCCCCCGCCCCTGACTGTGAGCTGCATGCTCGCGACGCCCCCGTAGACCTGCCGCGCCGCGGCCACGCCACCGCCGCCAGGGCACCAGGAGTGAGGGAGGAAGAGGAAGGATTAAAGAAGGAGGATCGAGGGTGAGAGGGAGGAGGATTGAGGAGGAGGTTGGGCTGAGGAAGAGGACCGAGGGAGGAGGGGGCATCGAGGAGGGAGGACTGGGGCAGGATCGATCAGGGAGGACTGAGGAGGACAGGGGAGTGAGCAGAAGGAGGTGGAGTGTGTGTGTTCTCTCTCTCTCTCTCTCTCTCCATCTCCAACGTTCTCTCTCTCCCTCTCTCTGTATATATCTCTCTCTCTCGTTCTCTCTCTCTCTCTCTCTTGATGTCGCTCTCTTTCTCTATGTCTCTCTGCCTCTCTCTCTCTCTGAGTCTTTCTCTATATCCCTCTCTCTCTTTCTCTCCCTGTATCTCTCGTTCTCGTTATTTGGTTGACCCTCTCTCGCTCTCTCTCGCTGTCTCTCTTCCCAGCCAGGCTGGCACCTCAAGGGCTTCTGCAAGAGGTTGCCGTCCCCCGCCCTCTCTCTCTCTCTCTCTCTCTCTCTCTCTGGCGATGGCAGACCTGCGATGGCCGATACCCGCAGAGAATGGGGCCATCACGGGGGGGGGGGCACGGCACGGTGCCGCAGACGGAGGATGGACAGAGGAGGGAGCACCGAGGAGGAGAGCGGGGCGTGGGGGAGGGCGAGGGAGGAGGGCGAAGGAGGTCCCATCTGTGACCAGCGGACCCGCCTGCAGATCGCAGATCGCAGGAGGAGGAGGAGGGAGGAGGAGGGGGAGGGAGGGGGGGGAGGGGGGGGGAGGGGCAAGCTAGGTGCGCGCGCGTCATATCTGACGTCATGTCCCTCCCTGCCATTCCTTACCACGGCATAGTTCTCTTCTATTCGCACAATCGCATGTCGGAGCCTGGCATAGCATTACATGGCATAGCATGATGTTTAAGATCTACGCGTAGCATGACAGAGCATGGCGTCGCGACGCCCCACAGTGTGGGGGCGGGCGTATGCGGCCCAAATAATCAACGAGTCAACACCGAATGGGTCATCACTTCCGATGTTGCTCCCAACCAGTCTGTGGTGCTGGGTCCTCGGTTTGAAGGGACAGCGCCCCGCGTCACTCACTCCTCCTCCTCCCCCCTCCTCCCACCTCCCGTCGCCCCCCTCACTGTGGCACACCCCTCACACATTTAGTGGCCCCATAAGAAGCTCCACCGAAAGCCCCAGTGCCACCGCCCGCATGCTTCACGCACCCCCATTTCGGCACACCCCTCACACGTTTCGTGGCCCCATAGGGAGCTCCACCGAAGGCCCCAGTGCCACCGCCCGCATGCGTTACCCACGCCCATTTCGGCACACCACTCACACGATGCGCGGCCCCATAGGGAGCTCCACCGAAGGCCCCAGTGCCACCGCCCGCATGCGTTGCCCAACCCCCATTTCGGCACATCACTCACACGTTTCGTGGCCCCATAGGGAGCTCCACCGAAGGCCCCAGTGCCACCGCCCGCATGCGTCACGCACACCCAATTCGGCACACCCCTCACACGTTAGTGGCCCGAAAGGAAGCTCCACAGAAGGCCCCAATGCCACCGCCCGCATGCGTCACGCACACCCATTTCGGCACACCTCTCACACGTTTCGTGGCCCCATAGGGAGCTCCACCGAAGGCCCCAGTGCCACCGCCCGCATGCCTATTTCGGCATACCCCTGACACGTTTCGTAACCCCACAGGGAGCTCCACCGAAGGCCCCACTGCCACCGCACGCATGCGTCACGTACACCCTTCTCGGTACACCTCTCACACGTTTCGTGGCCCCACAGGGAGCTCCATCGAAGGCGCCAGTCGCTGCGTTCGCATGCGCCCACCGCATCCTTTTCAGCACACCCATCTCCCGTTTCGCGGCACCATAGGGAGCTCCACCGACGGCTCCAATGGCTGCGTTCGCATGCGCCCGCCGCACCGATTTCGGCATACCCCTCACGCGTTTCGTGGCGGGAATTCCACCGACGGCCCAAGCGGCTGCTTCCGCATGCACCCACCAGACAAATTTCGGCACACCCCTCACACGTTTCGTGGCCATATAGGGGGCTCCTCCGAATGCGGTGCATACAACGACGGTGCTCACAACTGCATATGGTTGGGTCCTTCGCCAGGCTAATTTTTCGGGGTGCCAGTTTCTAGATTGTGGAGCAGATTTGGAAGGACCGAAGACCATGCCGTGGCATGGCGCTGGAAATAATGACGCCAACGCTGCAGCGGGAGCACGATTCGGAACGAGCGGAAGCGCGGAAATAAAGCCAGCGCTGCAGCGGGAGCACGATTTGGAACGAGCGGTAGCCAGAAAATGAGGCCAGCGCTTCAGCGAGAGCAGCACAGAAACAAACAAAAAATGAGCCTGGCGAAAGACCCGACCATATGCAGTTGTGAGCACCGTCGTTGTATGCACAGCATTCGGAGGGGCTTCTTATAGGGCCACGAAGCGTGTGAGGGGTGAGCCAAAAATTGTTCAGTGGGCGCATGCGAAAGCAGCCGCTTGGGCCGTCGGTGGAATTACCTGTGGGGCCACGAAACGCGTAAAAGGTGTGCCGAAATAGGTGCGGTGGGCGCATGCGAACGCAGCCACTGGGGCCGTGCCGCAGTGGGTGCGGTGAGCGCATGCGAACGCAGCCACTGGCGCCTTCGGTGGAGTTCCCTATGGGGCCACGAAACGCGTGAGGGGTGTGCCGAAACGTGCGTGGGTGACGCATGCGGGCGGTGGCACTGGGGCCTTCGGTGGAGCTCCCTATGGGGCCACGAAACGTGTGAGGGGTGTGCCGAAATGGGGGTGGGTAACGCATGCGGGCGGTGGGACTGGGACCTTCGGTGGGGCCACGAAACGTGTGCGTGGTGTGCCGATATGGGCGTGGGTAACGCATGCGAGCGGTGGCACTGGGGCATTCGGTGGAGCTCCCTATGGGGCCACGAAACGTGTGAGGGGTGTGCCGAAATGGGCGTGGGTAGCGCATGCGGGCGGTGGCACTGGGGCCTTCTGTGGAGCTCCCTATGGGGCCACGAAACGTGTGAGTGGTGTGCCGATATGGGCGTGGGTAACGCATGCGGGCGGTGGCACTGGGGCCTTCGGTGGAGCTCCCTATATGGCCACGAAACGTGTGAGGGGTGTGCCGAAACGTGCGTGGGTAACGCATGCGGGCGGTGGCACTGGAGCCTTCGGTGGAGCTCCCTATGGGGCTACGAAGCGTGTGAGCGGTGTGCCGAAATGGGGGTGGGTAACGCATGCGGGCGGTGGCACTGGGGCCTTCTGTGGAGCTCCCTATGGGGCCACGTAACGTGTGAGTGGTGTGCCGAAATGAGTGTGGGTAACGCATGCGGGCGGTGGCACTGGGGCCTTCGGTGGAGTTCCCTATGGGGCCACGAAACGCGTCAGGGGTGTGCCGAAATGGGTGTGGGCAACGCATGCGGGCGGTGGCACTGGGGCCTTCGGTGGAGCTCCCCTCCCCATGGGGCCACGAAACGTGTGAGGGGTGTGCCGAAATGGGGGTGGGTAACGCATGCGGGCGGTGGCACTGGGGCCTTCGGTGGAGCTCCCTATAGGGCCTCGAAACGCTGTTCTGGGTGGGTGAAACGCAAGGAGGAAGGAGGGGGAGGAGGAGGGAGGAGGAAGGAAGGAAGGAGGAACGCGGGGACCATCTCTTCAAAACGAAGACCCAAAACCACAGGATGGTCGGGAACAAGCAAAAACCCGTTTCCCGGGAGTCCTGTGCAAAAAAAACAGTGCGCGGAGGGGGGCCGAACATTTCCCGGACGCCACCAGGGGAGAGAGGAGAGCAGTAGTCACAATTGTGGAGGCGGGGCGGGGGGAGGGGAGGGCAGGCAGGGGGGCGAGGGGAGGGGAAACGAATGGCCCAGCTTGTGAGAGGGGGTCCCTGGGAGCAGCCCCCTGAGGAGCTTCGAAAGCTCAGCACACTCTTCTTACGGTGCTGGCAACGCGACAGGAAGGAGGAAACTCCAGCAGCAATAATAAATAAAGCGGCGTAGAACCCAAAAGCATGAACCACAATAAAAACCGGACAAGGAAAACAATCAACAAAGAAACTGTGCATACCCGTGGGCCTCGATCCCAGATCCTCGAGGAGCGGCGGGGCAGCCCGGCCGTGAACAGCAGCAGCGTCTGTAGCTCGCCCCAGCTGCCGGGC